ACAAAATACATCCCAACAGAAGAAACGTTGTTGCAGCTGTGTCTTTGGTATTCTTACCATAGGTAAACTATGGTGTCTAAGAGAATATTATCAGGATAAACATATAACAGTAGCAAAAGAAATAAGCTAAAATCAAGACTTTGTAAATCTATTATTGCATAGGCACCATGTGCCCTTGTGTTATATTCTTTGTTAAAGAACCAGAAACAAGGGGACAGGGAATAAACACAGGTGTCCTGCGGTGCTGTAACAAAGGTACTCTCACCATAAATACCTCACAGGTGTTATAAATGACAAGCCTGACTAGGCCAGTATTCAAGCAGCAATCAATTTATTAATTAATAAGGGAAAGTATGAGCAATACAGCACTGGGCACAGTGGTGAAGTTTTCCCTCCAACTGCACACCGATTATTGAGGCTTACAGGTATTTATAGGGGTACTCATAAGCTTTCTCAGCCGTTTCTATTCCCAGTTTTTACATCACAATTCTGTACACAATTGTGATTTAGTTTTTCTCAGGATGTATCCCAGAAAGGAGTATCCCCAGATGGTGGGGGTCCGGCTTCCGAAAGAAGAAAGAAGTGTCCCAGCTGGTGAGGTCCAGATTCCAGATGTGGGTCCACCTTTTAATTGCAAGGACTATACATCTCATAACAGTGATGTCCAGCTTCCCTTGGTCAAAACTATCAATCCTTGAGTTGATGTTCATCTTCCTTTCTCAAGCTGCTTTTCACTGTTTTGTTAAGGCGTCGAGATAAGCATCTTTCCTTTTTATATATTCTAAAGCTAGAGTTTCAAAGATCCTTACTACAAGCAATATTCTAAAATTATACTTCAAAAGGTTATTAATGCAAAACTTTAAGGCTTAGCTACCAGCAGAAAGTACCTGTCAAACAGCAACATCCTTAAAGCTTTAATTCAAATGCTCCTAAATCAACTTAAGATTTATAAAGGTTAATTGTGAACAAAGGATAGGTTCAAAGGCCTTCTTCCATGCTTTACTTCCTCAGTTATTTATTAGAATTCATCTTTATAACTGTCCCACAGTCGGTTTCCATACATATCACAACCACAAATACAAACGTTGCCTGTATGTACCTGACACAAAGCACAGCTTTGTATTTCACACAGGGACATTAGGTACAAAAGCATACTTTCATTCTCATTCTTGCCTAAGAGCTGGTCCAGTTGTTGGCCAAAACCCCGCATCTACACAGAAGCTCAGCAATACCTCGAACAGGCTGCCAAGAACTCCTTTCAGCTCCAGGCAATGAATCAAGGCACTCAATGGATGTGACTGGAAGGTAAAAGGGGAGGGCAGCTACAAAAGTGCTCCGGCCTTGTCACAAGCAAAAGTAACTTCTTCTCTCACATGGGCTCTCTCAGAGCCTGACTCTGCCTGCTGGACACCAAAAGTGAAGTCAAGCACAGAAGAAGTGCTGCGAGAGCAAGTGAGATGGTTCTTGTGTCAGCCAGAACCTGGAGACCTCTGCACACAGGCACAGGAGGGGTTGGACATGGCAGGTGCTCTGTTTGTCTAAGCAGCTCTCTTATTCCTGCCAAGCCCAAGATCAAGATCAGAGAAGAAGGTGCAGGCACAGCTGAAACAGAAAATTAGTGCAAAAGCAGTCACTTAGTTCTAGGGAAACATAAATTTATTGTGTGATGGCACCTATGCAGCCAAGACATCTCCTCCTTAGGGACAGCAAAATCTGCCACAGAACAAAATGCTGGAAGTTTTGTTGTGCCGGATGAAGAAGAGAAAGGGATGATCAGCTATGAATTCTGAAGTGGACATTATGAGGGAAGACTCACAGAATAGCATCGCTGTGGCAGCAGCTGCTTCAGTGCCTTCTTCATTGACTTCCACAAATGATTTGTGAACCACTTCAGAGAGCACCAGCTGGTTGCCAGGTGAGATTCCTGAGAAGTCTGCCTTGCCCAACTCAAATGCATCAGGCATTCCCATGCTGCCCAGAATGGGTTTAAGTTTGTAAGCTTCTTCCAGCTTAAATCTGGGTAGATACACCTTCACCTCTGTAGAACTCATCATTTCAGGACTGATCCAAAACATCAACTTCTCATATGTAAGTTCTTTTTCCAGCTGAAGAAAAATCAAAAATTTACTTAATTACAGTGGGAATTGACTCAACATTACATAGTGATTTCTGTGTGTTTCTTCACATACCCCAGTACGTACATATTTTTTCCCTGGCTTAAGCATGATGATGGTGGGGCTTTTCTTTTCATTTTTAATAGGGGAATAAAAGACTCAAGAAACCTTAGCAATAAACTCCTTGTCCCAGAGTTCCAAAGAGCCCAAACTTTTATCCTTTCCTCACCACAAAATAGATCCTGCCCTTTCCTCTGAGCCTCTTTCCAGCCAGTGAGCCACACACCACCTGCCAGCTGCTCAGCACAGAAGACCTACAGGACAAGCCACAGGACTTCCCAAGAGCCCACCCAAAGTCCCCCTCTCCCCATTCCATCATCACCATACTGTGCCTTCCCCACAACCACAGCTGAGCTCTGCTCCTGAGCAGGGCCAGCTCTCCTTCCAGAGCCTCTGGCCAAGGGAGCAGCACACAGCCTGAGCAGCACTGACACAGCAGGGGCTGTCACTTTGGGGACAGGGACGAGAGGGACATTGCTGATGGCCTTGAGCACCAGAGACACAATTGCTCTGCAACTGAACTGCAGGTCTCTGTGCAATTCAGGCTTTCTTCCCTGGGAGGATTCAGCATGTCTTTGCACTCAGCTCGACTACTTACTCTTTCCAGGCCTGTGGATCCATCCTGGATTGCATCAGGGAGCAGGATGATCATGCTCAGTTCATTACCCACATAGGGGAGCTCAAGGATTTTGGTCTGGAAGTCTCCAATGTAGGTCATGTTAAAATCTGCCTCCTTGAACATCATCTGCACAGGTCTGGTTTCATTCTAGAAATCAAGAGATGCCAACAGTGAGTGCTGAGCTTCTCTGCTGGTCTCACACTACGAAGCAGGCAGCAAGTTACTCATGGCCTTTTAGGATTTGTCCAAAGAGAACTGATCACACACCACAGAGTGCAGCCCTACCACTGCCTTTGGGAAAGCACGAGGTGAAAACAATGCATGATATTCCATAACAACTCAAAAGAAGCTGATATAGGCTCATCAGCCCTTTATCCTTTTGGTGTTGGCATCTTGAAAGCTGGCTCCAAGCTTGCACAGCTGCAGGCAATACAAAATGCCACAGTGTCTCTGGATACTCCTGCCAGCTTTTTCAACACCTTCCTAGAGCCAGGGACCAAGGTGTCAGGAACCGAGTCAGCCCAGCAGTCTCTGAAGTGCCGTGTGAGAAAGTGTTTTGGTAAGCAGAAACATTCCCTTACATAAAAGTTATATCAGCACTTTCACATATTCTCTGACTTATTTGACCACTGTGGGGAGGGATGGTTTCCAGACAGGCACGAGGGCTTCCATTTTCCTCAATGGCTGCTTCAGGCAGGCGAGTTAAGGAAGGCACATCACCAGGTCTTGTTCATGACTCTGGGAGGCCAACCCAGAGCTGCAGAGG